CTGGACGGGTTTTTCCCGTCATATTTCTCGTTCAGGGAAAGGGGGTTTTCCCGCATATTTTATTGTTTGGACGGGTTTCCCTTCATATTTTATTGTTCTGGACTGGTTTTTCCGTCATATTTCTTCGTTCTGCACATTTTTTTTCCCGTGTATTTTATCGTTCTGGACGCGTTTCCCTGTCATATTTTTTTGTTTGGATGGGTTTCCCTGTATATTTCATGTCCGGACAGGGTTCCCTGTCATATTTCATATTCATGAGGGTTTCCCCGTAAAATTTCCATTTTGGACGGGTTTTCCTGCCCCATTTCATTGTTTGGGGGTTTTCCCTGTCATATTTCATTGTTTTTGAGGGTTTCCCTCTCGTATTTCAATGTTTGGGCGGGTTTTTTCCCCCAATTTTATTGTTTTGGACGTTTTCCTGTATATTTTTTTTCTTCTGCACAGTTTTTCCGTCTATTTTATCGTTCTGGACGCGTTTCCCTGTCAATTTTTTTTGTTCTGGATGGGGTTTCCCTTCTATTTCATCGTCCCGGGCGGATTCCCTGTCATATTTTAAGTTCATGAAAGGGTTTTCCCCCGTAATATTTCCATGTTTGGGCGGGTTTTCCTCCCTATTCTTGTTCGGGACGGGTTTTCCCTGCAAAATTTTAAAAATTTTGGACGGGTTTTCCCCGTCAAACATTGTTTTGGACGGGGTTTCCCTGTCATAAATTTATCGTTCAGGAAGGTTTTCCTGCATATTTCGTTGTTTTGGCGGGTTTTCCCCGCATATTTTGTCGTTCAGGAAAAGGGTTTTCCCCGTCATATTTCCTTTTTTCTGGACGGGTTTCCCTATCATATTTCGTTTTCTGGCGGTTTTCCTGCCGATTTCATCGTTTGGCGGGTTTAACTCTCAATTTTTATTTTTCTGGAGGGTTTTTTTCCCGTCATTTTCATCGTTCGGGCAGGATTTTTTTCATATTTCTCGTTCAGGAAGGGTTTCCCTTTTACTTCATTTTTCTGAAGGGTTTCCATTCGTTTTTCCTTTTTTTGGGCGGTTTCCCTGTTTTTTTCTCGTTTAGGGAAGGTTTCCAGTCAAATTCCGTTCTCTACGGGTTTCCCTGTCCTTTCATCGACGGACAGGTTCCTGTCATATTTTCATCGTTCAAGAAGGGTTTCCGAGTCATATTTTACGTTGGGAAAGGGGTCCCTTTAATATTTCATTGTTCTGGACGGGGTTTTCCCTTTATTTCATGTTTTGGAAGGGTTTCCCCCTTCAAAAATTTTATCGTTTTGGACGGTTCTCCCCACATATTTTATTGTTCTGACGGGTTTCCCTTTCTATTTTATTGTTTTTGGACGGGGTTTCCTGTCATTTCATGTTTTTTGGACTGGTTTTCTGTCATATTTCATCGTTCAAAGGGTTTCCCGTCAATTCACCCTTTTGGACGGTTTTCCCTGTCATATTTCATTGTTCTGGACGTGTTTTTTCCCCGTCATATTTCATTGTTCTTTCGGGTTTCCCCTCATTTTATTCTTTGGGCGGGTTTTTCCGTCATATTTCATTGTTTTGGAGGGTTTTCCGTCGTATTTTATCCTCGGGGGGTTCCCTTCAATTCTCATTTTTTGGACCGGGGGTTCCCTTTTTTTTTTTTCATTTTTCCCGACAGGATTCCCCAAATTTTATCGTTCAGAAGGGTTTTCCCCTCGATTTCATTGTTTTTGCACGTGTTTCCCCCTCATTTTCATTGTTTTTTGACGGGTTTTCCCCTCATATTTCCCTTTTTCTGGACGGGTTTCCCTGTCAATTTCTTTTTCTGGACGGGGTTTCCCTGTCAAATTTCATCGTTATGAAGGGGTTTCCTGTCAAATTTTATTTTTTCGGACGGGTTTTTCCCTCTCATATTTTTTTGTTCTGGACGGGTTTTCCTGTCATATTTCATCGTTTACGGTTTCACTCTCATATTTATTCCTCTGGGTGTTTCCCGTCATATTTTTATATTTATGAAGGTTTTTCTGTAATATTTCCCTGTTCTGGACGGGTTTTCCCCCTCTATTTCATTGTTCGGGACGGGTTTTTCCCTGTCATATTTCATTGTTATGGACCGTTTTTATTATATTTCATCGTTCAGGGCATATTCCTTGTCATTTTTCGTCGTTTTTGGGAAAGGGGTTTCCCCCGTCATATTTCATCGTTCAGGAAGGTTTCCCCGTCAAATTCATATTCAAAAGGGGTTTTCCCCGTCAATTTCGTCGTTCTGGACAGTATTCCCCGTATATTTCATCGTTTAAGAAGGGGGTTCCCAGAATATTTCATTGTTTAGACGGGTTTTCCCGTCATATTTTTATGTTTAGGGAAATTTTTTCCCCGTAAAATTTCACGTTCTGGACGGTTCCACAGACATATTTATGCTTTTGGGCGGGTTACCTGCATATTTCGTTGTTTTGACGGGTTTCCCTCTTTTATTTTTTTGTTCTTTACGGGACCCTGTCAAAATTTTATTGTTTTGGACGGGTTTCCCTTAAATTTCATTTTTTGGACGGGGTTCCAAGTCATATTTCATCGTTCGAAGGGTTTCCCTTAATTTCATTGTTCTGGGAAAGGGTTTCCCTGTCATATTTCACGTTCGGAAGGGTTTTTTCCCGTCATATTTCTTTGTTCGGACGTGTTTCCCCTTTTATTTTTTCGTTCAGGAAAGGGTTTTTCCCCGTCTATTTCTTTGTTTGGACGGTTTTCCCTCTCATATTTCTTGTTCTGGACGGTTTTCCTGTCATATCACGTTTGGACGGGGTTTTTCTCTCATATTTCATTTTTATTTACGGGTTTCTCTTCAATTTTACGTTCTGGCGGGGGTTTCCCTGTCAAATTTCATTGTTCTCGACGGGTTTTCCCCGTCATTTTTTATTGCTCTGATGGGATTCCCTGTATATTTTATCTTTTGGGGGGTTTTCCCCGTCATATTTTTATTTTTGGACGGGGTTTTCCCCGTCATATTTTATCGTCCAGAAAGGGTTTCCCTTTTAAATTTTTTATTCAAGAAAGGGGTTTCCCCCGAATATTCACGTTCAGGAAAAGGGGTTTCCCCGTCAAATTTCATTGTTTTGGACGGGTTTTTTTCCCGTCATTTTTTTATCGTTCATGAAGGGTTTCCCTCTCATAATTTTATTGTTGTTGACGGGTTTTCCTGCCCTATTTCATCGTCTGGACGGGTTTCACTCTCAATTTCGTTTTTTTTGACGGGTTTCCATGTCATTTTCATTGTTCTTAGGGGGTTTTTCCCTTCACATTTCTTGTTTTGGACGGTTTTCCCGTGTATTTCATCGTTTTTTAGGGTTTTTCCCTGTCAAATTTCATCGTTCAGGAAGGGTTTTCCCCATCAAATTTCAACCTTCTGAGGGTTTTCATTCTATTTTATCGTTTGGGACGGTTTTCCCGTCATGTTTTTCGTTCGGATTTGTTTTTCCCGTCGATTTCAACGTTCGGACGGGGGTTTCCCCCGTCAAATTTCATTGTTTGGACGGGTTTTCCCTTCATATTTCATTGTTTTGGACGGGTTTTCTTCGTATTTCTCGTTATTGAGATTTTTTTCCCGTCATATTTCATTGTTTGGACGGTTTCCCCGTCATATTTTTATTTCTCTGGATGTGATTCCCGTCATTTTTCACGTTCAGGAAGGTTTCCCTGTTAATTTTATTTTCAGGACGGGTTTCCCCCCTCATATTTCATTGTTCTGGAAAAGTTTTTCCCCCTCATATTTCATTGTTCGGACGGGTTTCGCCTCATATTTTATTGTTTTTGTCGGGGTTTCCCCCCTCATATTTCATTGTTCTGGACGGGTTTTTCCCCGTCATATTTATTGCTCGGATTGATTCCCTGTCATATTTCATTGTTCTGGATGGGTTTCCCTGTCATATTTTATTCTTCTTGCGGTTTTTTCCCGCTGTATTTCTCATTTGGACGGGTTTCACCTCATATTTCAGTTCTGGACGGGTTTCTCTGTCACTTTTCATTGTTTTGGACGGGTTTTCCTGTTATTTCATTGTTTGGACCGGTTTCCCCGCAAATTTTTTCAGTTCAGGAAGGTTTCCCTTTCATAATTTTTAGCCCCTGGACGGGTTTTCATGTCGTATTTCATTGTTCGGGGCGGGTTTTCCGTAATTTTTATTTTTCTGGACGGGTTTCCCCCGCATATTTATTTTTTTAGACGGGTTTTCCTCTCAATTTTTATTGTTCTGAAAGGGTTTCCCTATTAATTTCATCCTTCTGGGCGGTTTCCCCCGTCATATTTCATTGTTCTGACGGGTTCCCCCTCATATTTATTGTTCTGGACGGGGGCCCCCTCATATTTCATTGTTCTGGACGGGTTTTTCTGTCATATTTCATCGTTCTGGACAGGTTTTCCTGTCGTATTTCGTCGTTCTGGACGGGTTTCTCTCTCATATTTCTTTGTTCTGGACGTGTTTCCCTGTCATATTTCATTGTTCTGGACGGGTTTCCCTGTCATATTTCATCGTTCTGGACAGGATTCCCTGTCATATTTCATCTTTCAGGAAGGGTTTCCCTCTAATATTTCATTTTCGGGACGGGTTTTCCCTGTCATATTTCATTGTTATGGACGCGTTTCATGTCATATTTCTTCGTTCAGGACAGGATTCCTTGTCATTTTTCATCAAGTCCTGAAGATAGAAGGTACTGTACAGTACCTGCACTCTGAAGGAACAATGAGGCTAGTACACTGTGGTGTAGGGTCATTTGAATTGTGATATCTGCACATTTTTGGTAAGATAGCTATTGAGTGAGTGATGGTGAATGTGTTTCTTTTTTTTTTGGGGGGGGGGGTTACCCTACCTCAGTGCAAGACATCCATTATGGTAAAACAAATTATTTTTATAGGCAAGAAAGCTCTGTTTTTGAGACACTGATTAAAAACAAGACACATCTTTTCTGTAATTGTGTGGTAGAATGAAATCCATGTTTATAGTATTTATAATCTTTCATACATTATCTAAATTTATTATTATAGATGTGACACCACCACCACCTTCAGTGCGAGATGAAGAGATTAATGCAGGTACTTTAGAAGCCTTCGATGTGGTCTATGATATTTCACCTCCAGCACCAAGTCATACTTCACCACTTGAAATGTCTTTTGATGATGGCACAGAGAAGAATAGAATTGTAAATAATAGTGAACCTTGAAGAGGAATGTCTACTCCCAGTACTCCAGCAGACACACCAGCTACCAAGACTTATAATAAAGAACTGAAAGTTATTTTTTTCAAATTAGTTAAAAAGCCAGGCAGAGGTAAGGATGTAAATGTTGCTTCACCAAGTACTGTAGATGTTTGTAGAATTATGCATCGTATCTATTTTTTTAATTGATTTGTTATAGTATTACTGCATTTTAAAATACATTCACATGATAAATTCTCTAAATACAGCTTCTCAAAACACCAAAAGCTTTTATAACTGCCCATAAACATTAGTTTGAAATTTGCCTTCTCTTTAAATTTTGCTTTTTCAAAATACTGTACTATCCATTCATGTTAAGTGACAGATTTATTGGTCCAGGATGTGGTTAGCGTTAAGAATTTTCCCACATTTGCAATATCATATAACTTTAAATGTGTCACGTTTGCCTGTGCTCTTTCTTATAAATAAATAAAATTAAAAAAGGAAGAGGGAGCCAGTGGTGAATTGTGGGAGTCCCATTTCGGTAGCCCTTGTTTACCATGCTTGGCGGTAATATATACCTCGCACCTTGGCAAATTGAGACTGTTCTCTTCCCAAGTGATAGTTCTAACACAGATGGAAGTGTCAGTGAAGATGAAGTTCATGGTTTTGAGTAGTTTGTGACCAAAAGCAATGCCCAGGATACCAGAAATAGTGCTGAAAGTCCAGACAACCATCAACCTAGGATAACCCAAAAAAGTCAGTGACTTATTTCCATATGGGTGGTGGGGAAGGCAGCATGCTTGTTGGGGAAGACGGGGTGGGTAATGGGTGTTGGGGAAGACGTTGGGGGTAATGGGTGGTGGTGGTGGTGGTTTTGTAATGCCTCATTTGACACCAAATATGCTGCTCTCAGCACAGCAACAACAAAGGCTACCTTCAACCATCCGCACACAAGCAACCTTCCACAAGCTATAGCAGTTCTAGGAACATGTCCAGCGACTATAATAAACAACTTTTTATATTGCTGGCTCGTGTAAACAGGTTTTGTAAACACTATAATGATAACAATGTTGTGTTGCATACGAGTGGATATATATATGCATTACACATTATATTGGGCTCACAGGCCACAAAAGTTACTTGAAAAAATAAAATATTATAAAATATAAGGAAAAGTAGAATAAAAATAATAATATTACTGAGTGAGCGGCAGTTGCCAGTGTTGCCGTAAGTGGTTCACTTTCTGTCAACTTCATACCTCTATATCTCAGTAAGTATCGATTGCAAAATTTTTTTCTTTTAAAACACTCACAAAAATATTCTTAAGATTTTGGTGAGAAAACATATTTTTTTTTTCGAATATTTTTTGGACACTGAGAGGGACTTCAGGATCAGAGCTCTTGACAGTGAAAGCGTTAAAGATAAATTTAAATATAAAGGAAATTAATTATACAGCAGAAGTGAACTGGAAGAATGAGTAAGCAGCAAGAAGAGTTTAAATTGTTATGGCCGAATAAGAGAAGGTGTTTACTGTACAAACCATTGTTTTTTCATGCAGATAGGTCAAACCGGCTTACTCATAATAAACATATTTTTGAGAAAATGCTTATTCACAAGTGTGCATTTGTTGGAGAAACAGGTAGAAAAGCGCATTGGTAGATTTTGTAACAGCAAATGAGCTAACAAGATGAGCAATGAATATTGGAAGTTCTGTCCACTTTAGTTATTACGCTGCGTTGATGATGTGCAGGAGTAACTAGACGATAACTTTCTCCTTTGAAAAGGATATATTTAAAATGAAAGAAATTAGTGCAAAGAGAAAATAGACAAGATAAAATTATTAATATGAAAGCTGTGTCATCAAAGAGAGAATTAGAAATTGCTTCATACATTTCACAGTAATAATGCATATTTCTACACCTCTTGTATATGCAGCTGATTGTTATGAGGAAGATTGAAGCTTAAAAAATATGAGAACATATGCAGAATGTATTAGAGAGTGAAGTGGTTAGTTGTTTGTTTATATTTTAATTATCCATTCAAATATTTATGTATTATGAATTTATGTTGGACAAGACTTTGTAAGGTCTATGAAAGTTGCAGTGAGGAGGAGGCTGTGAAAGTTGCAGTGAGGAGGAGGCTGTGAAAGTTGCAGTGAGGAGGAGGCTGTGAAAGTTGCAGTGAGGAGGCTATGAAAGTTGTAGTGAGGAGGAGGCTATGAAAGTTGCAGTGAGGAGGAGGCTATGAAAGTTGTAGTGAGGAGGAGGCTATGAAAGTTGCAGTGAGGAGGAGGCTATGAAAGTTGCAGTGAGGAGGAGGCTGTGAAAGTTGCAGTGAGGAGAGCTGTGATAAGTGCAGTGAGGAGGCTATGAAAGTTGTAGTGAGGAGGAGGCTATGAAAGTTGCAGTGAGGAGGAGCTAGAAAGTTGTAGTGAGGAGGATGGCTATGAAGTTGCAGTGAGGAGGAGCTATGAAAGTTGCAGTGAGGAGGAGGCTATGAAAGTTGCAGTGAGGAGGAGGCTATGAAAGTTGCAGTGAGGAGGAGGCTAAATGCAGTGGAGATCAGTGTGGTATGAATATTATGCGGCAGATAAAAATTGAAAGAGCTTAAATATTTGTTTGGTGATATGAAAGTTATAATTCACTGAGCAGAAGAGGTGTTGTTGAGATTGTTTAGTCATTTATAAATTATGATGGGAAATATGTTGATCAAGAGGGTGTGTAAATCTGCTGTAGAAGGGTTAAAGGGAGTGCATGAAGGAGGCTTAAATTGGTAATGGCCTGAGTATCCAGCAGGCATATGTGAGGCTTTAATTGGTAATGGCATCCAGCAAGCATGTGTGATTTGATGCACTGTTAAGCATGGTAACATTTAAAGGGATTCATGGGAAAACTTCTTTGGTGAACTTGAGTTCAGGAGGTGGCAAGTACAGTGCCTGCACTCTGAAGGTTGGATGGGGATGTTGTAGTTTTGAGGGCTAGATAATGAATGAAATGTTTCCTCCTTTGATTCACTTTTTCTTGGTGGAAAATGGCTAAGGCTGCAATAATAAACAATAGGAATAATTGAATAAGTTGGTAAGAAATGTGAAGGTCTTGAAAAGAAGTAGATACTGTGTTGATGGATGGTGTGTAAATTGACTGTAGTGTCTCACAGTGAGCAGTTTTATGTGAAAGTCATGAGAAAGTAGCAAGTATTAATTCGAGCTACAAATGGTTAAAAAAAATTCACATATACTATTTAAATATCATTAAGTCCTATAAAAATCTGTATTACAAATTAAACTGTAATTATTTTGTTTTCAGACTTCAGAAGACTCTTCGATCAGCTGAACACAGTGCAGGGCTCATATGAGTCAAGATTGAAAATGGTGAAAGATATAGTACACGAGGCCAGTAGGTTTAAGCGTCACTCGTTGGTGAAACTGTTATTTCAGTTTCTGGACTCCATGACGAGTACGGAGAAGGGGACAGTTACTCGCCCTAGTGTCAGAGTCAATGGTCACAGCAGATAGATCTGGTCACTTCATATTTCAGTTAGTTTAAAAAAGTATAATGTGTTGCCCTGCTGTGACTGTGGGGAATGGCATACATGATGATGAAACAGTACAATATCTTAAAAAATTAATGTGTTATATGCACATTATTTTGTGATACAGTATAATAAGAAAAAAATTATAAAAGATAGAAAGTTAGTAGTCGCTAGTATTTTTTCTCAGCAAGTTGTTGAATTGTTTATATGTGAATGGCAAATTGTTTAATGATCTTGCTAAAAATGTAATTGTTTATTGAATAGATTTTATATACAATATAAATGAATATTGTAAGAAACATTGAAGGGTATGAAAGAAACAATATTAGGTTAAAAGGAGTGAAGTAACTGGAGACTTGTAAGCCTAAGTTGTTAGTAAACAAGCAGGAACATAAAAACAACCATATAAAGCTAAATCTAGTAAATTATGTACCTGATCAGTAAAACTTGAATGTGTAATAATATGAGTCAGTTTTATTGAATTTTTACAAAGTCATTCACTTGGCTTACCATTTGTTTTCTTAGTTAATCACAAGACTGCTTAAGAAATTCATTTTATTTTGGGCCATTTTGATTATTCAGACAGGTTGGAAAGTTTAAACCTTAACTGAATTATTCTTATTGTTCAGCAGTTAGTGACCTGTTTTAGCCCCTTTCATGAAGACTATTTATTTTATCCAGGTATTATAAAACAAATTATCTTTTTTAAAATTAAAAAACCTCTGAAAATTTTATATTCTCACTGTTTTTAAAATTTGTCCCCAGAATCCTTTAGACCTTACTCCGGGCCCCAAAAAAATCAAAAAAAAAAGCATTTTTGAATGCTTTCTTTTGTGGGGGGTTATTGTCTGAATTTTCAATGACCCAATCATTTTCAATGAATCGAATTTTTAAAATTTCGGAGGGTTGCAATGTAAAAAAGTCATTGAAATGCAAAAAGAAATTGATGTGTGAGACTTTTGTAAATTTTGTGTATATTTATTTTTATTATCAAATCAGTTGCCCCCCCCTTTTAATTTTGTTTTTATTTATCAATGTAAAAAAAAGCTTTACATTATTCCTTTAAAAAAAAAAATCATGTGAGTTTACTAAATTAAAGGCACGTGATGAAATTTCTTCAGCGGGGATTTTTAAAAAGTTAATTCCATTGAAGGTTCCCTTTTTATCCCAGAAATTGGATCTGTCTTCTTCTTTTGGATCGAACTGACTGCCTCCCATCCAAAACGCACTGCATTACCCCTACAGATCAGTTTTCTGAAAAAAAAATTATGAAAAAATAACTGTAATCTTGAATAATTTGGAGGAAGTGAACCTCGCCTATACATTTTGTTCTCAAACCTCCTGAAGCTTTACAAAAATTCAATTCATTTTTAAGGTTTTTAAGACTTGCTTTTATTTTTAGACTTTTAAAAAAGTTTAATTTACCAAAACATATTTAAATAAAACTCCTTTGATGCGTTAAGGGTCTTGATTAAGGAAAAAAAAAATTACTTGCCCATTTTTTGGGTCACACCCAATTACCCCCAATTTTCCAGGTGCTTTCTGATTATTATTATAATCAAAAAGAAGCGCTAAACCACAAGGGCTATACAGCGCTGCAGGGCAGGAAGGAAGTGAGGGTATCAGGTGGCAGACGTAGAGTGAGGACCTGATTAGCAGGTATAGGTCAGCAATAGAAATAATTAGAAGTAAGGGTGGGAACCCCTCAATATGTGGTATTTTGCCAAGGAGGGAGTTGGAAATGAATGGTTGTCCAGGGCAATTGGTGTCAATTGCTGGCTGGACAAATACTGTAAGGAAAATGCAGTAACATTCATTGACAACTGGGACCTCTTCTATGGCAAGAAATGACATGTTTGCTAGGGATGGGGTTCACTTATCTAGGTGTGGGGTGGGAGCACTGGCAACTGCAGTGGAGGGAGCAGTTAGGACTTTAAACTAGGAATAGTTAGTGGTATGGGTTTTGGCAGGAAAGCAGTGAAGTCCCAGTGTAGTAATATTACGAGTTCTAGGGGAACTAGTAATAATAAGAACGAGATAGATATTGAAAAGCCAGGGACCTTGGTGATAAGGACAGTAATAGGTTTAGTAGAAAAATAGAAATGAGCAGGAAGGGTAAAGAGAAAGGAGAGTCTTTCAATGTTTATTTATGCTAATTGCCGTAGTGCTAGGAATAAGATGGACGAGTTGAGATTAGTTGCTAGTGTAGGTAACATTGATGTATTTGCCTTAACTGAGACGTGGTTTAATTCAAAAAGTCGGGACATGCCTGCGGAATGTCATATTCAGGGTTTTAAATTGTTCCAAGAAGATAGAAGTATTGGAGGGGGGGTGGGGTGGCATGTATGTCCGAGATCGCTTGAACTGTTGCATAAAAACGGGTATTAAGTCTGAAGTAACACATACAGAGTCTGTTTGGATAGAATTTTCAGAGGGGCATGAAAAACTGATTTTAGGAGTGATATAACCGCCCCAAACTTAGATAGGGACCAAGGGAAACTACTAGGGAGGAAATTGTTAAGGCCACAAGGCACGATAATGTAGTAATTCTAGGAGACTTTAACTTTAGTCATGTTGATTGGAATTTCTTGACTGGGAATTTAGAATCATACGACTTCTTAGAAGTATTTCAGGATTTGTTTTTTGAAGCAGTTTGTGACAGAACCTACAAGGGAAATAACCTGCTTGACTTAGTTATGGCAACAATGAATCCCTTGTTAATAATTTAGAAATTTCAGAGGAACTGGGTGCTAGCGACCACAAATCAATTACATTTAGCATTGAATGGAAGTACGTTAGTAGCGATAACTCAGTAACAGTCCCAGATTTTCGCTTAGCAGATTACGATGGGCTTAGAGAACACTTATCATCTGTTGACTGGGGTAACGAAGAGAGCTATCAATATGACAGTTTTCTGAACACTATACATGCTGCTCAAAGAGCGTTTTATCCCATATAAAGAAATTAGATCAAATAGAAATGACCCAAAATGGATGAATAATAGGCTCAAATATCTACTAGGGCAAAAGAAAGGAATTTATAGGCGTATCAAAAGAGGTGAGGGTCATCTTATGAATCAGTATATTGACATTAAGAGGGACATTAAAAAGGGGATAAGAAAAGCTAAAAGGGACTATGAAATTAAAGTTGCTAGGGATTCTAAAACTAACCCAAAAAGTTTTTTTCCAGGTCTATAGAACAAAAGTTAGAGATAAGATGGTCCCCTTAAAAATAACTATGGGCACCTTACTGACAAAGAGAATGAAATGTGCTTGATTTAAATAATTATTTTCTCTCAGTTTTTACACAGGAAGACACTAACAATATTCCAGTAATTAATTTTTTACAGTGGGCTAGAAGAAGATAAATTATGTAACATCACAGTCACTAGTGAGATGGTTGTGAGGCAGATAGACAGACTGAAGCAAAATAAGTTCGCCAGGTCCTGATGAGTTTTTTCAAGGGTTCTTAAGGAATGCAAATGGAACTCTGTGAACCATTAACTAATATTTTTAATTTATCTCTTCAAACAGGTGTAGTGTCTGATATGTGGAAGATGGCTAATGTAACTCCTATTTTTAAAACAGGGGACAAGTCCGTTACCGTCAAATTACCGCCCAATAACCTGACCTCAATTGTAGGCAAATTACTAGAGTCAATTATAGCTGAGATTATAAGAAGCCATCTCGATAAGCATAGCTTGATTAATGATACTCAGCATGGATTCACAAGAGGCCGGTCTTGTCTAACTAATTTATTAACTTTCTTCAGTAAAGCTTTTGAGGCTGTTGACCACAATAAAGAATTTGATATTATTTACTTAGATTTTAGTAAGGCTTTTGATAGAGTTCCGCACCATAGACTGTTAAAGAAAGTGGCAGCTCATGGCATTGGGGGAAAAGTGCTCTCGTGGATCGAGTCATGGCTCACTGACAGGAAGCAGAGAGTGTCCATAAATGGGGTTAAATCCGAGTGGGGATCTGTAACAAGTGGCGTTCCACAGTGGATCAGTCTTGGGCCCGTTGTTGTTTATAATATATATCAATGATCCTTGATGAGGGAATTACTAGTGATATGAGCAAATTCGCCGATGACACAAAGATAGGTAGGATAATTGATTCAAACGTAGATGTTAGGGAACTTCAGGAGGATTTAAACAAACTCTATTCTTGGTCAGAAAAGTGGCAGATGCAGTTCAATGTAGATAAATGCAAGGTTCTGAGGCTTGGGAGTGCCCATAACACTAGTACTTTATAAATTAAATGATGTAGAACTTAGCCATACAGATTGCGAAAAGGACTTGGGGTTATGGTGAGCAGCAACCTTAAACCAAGACAGCAATGCCTAAGCGTACGTAATAAGGCAAATAGATTACTGGGATTTATATCAAGAAGTGTAAGCAACAGAAGTCCGAGAGTCATACTGCAGCTTTATACATCATTAGTAAGGCCTCACCTAGATTATGCAGCTCAGTTCTGGTCTCCGTATTACAAAATGGACATAAAATTCGTTAGAAAACATTCAGCGTAGGATGACTAAATTAATACATAGCATCAGAAATCTTCCTTATGAAGAAAGAATTGAAGACTCTTAAGTTACATTCACTTGTTAGACGAAGAATGAGGGGAGACCTGATCGAAGTGTATAAGTGGAAGATAGGTATAAATAAAGGGGATATTAATAAGGTCTTGAGGATGTCTCTCCAAGAGAGAACGCGCAGTAATGGATTTAAAATTAGGTAAGTTATAGATTTAGAAAGTGAACTGAAAGTATTGGTTTGAAATAGGGTAGTTGATGAGTTGGAACATCTACTATTGGGTTTTTGAGGCTGGGACTTTGGGTAGTTTCAAATCTAGTTGATAAGTACATGAGTGGAGGGGTTGGATTTGGAGTGGGAACTTTCACATCAGAGCTTATTTCTTGGGTGGCACTGAAAATTGGTTGGCAAATGTTTTGTTATGTGGATGAATTGTAAAGGACCTGCCTAGTATGGGCCGGCGGGCCTCCTGCGGTGTTCCTCCTTTTCTTGTGTTCTTGTGTTCTTGTGTGAGTAATAGGTTAAGGAGAACAGCTAGGCAGTGGATGGTGAAAGGGTAGAGGGCAGCAAGAGATTGGGGTAGAGAGGGCTGATGGGAGTGTGAAAGGTATCATCATCAGAGTTTGTGAAGTAAATCAGTCGTTGTTAAGAAATCAATGAGAGAGTCAGGATTAAAGGAGGGTCCATCAGCAAGAAGGGAAGATAAAGAGAGAGTAGGAGAGCGGAGACGACGTTGGAGGTAAATTCTGCTTGCTCGTTGATAGAGAGAGCAGTCTAACAGAATGTGGCTAATCGATACTGGAACTTGACACTTCTCACAGAGAGGAACAGGGCGCCTCTCCATGAAATACCCATGAGTAAGACGAGTGTGGCCAATGCGAAGGCGGGAGAGAGTAGTCTCCCAACCTTGGCACTGATGACAAGAAGACGGCCAGTAACCTATGCTCGGTTTACCTCTTCAAGGGGGGCTCCTTGTTGTGGTGAAGAGGCTCTTGGTCTGAGGAATTAGACCTGTCGGTCTCCTTCCTCAGACCGAACCTAATTACCCCCCAATCCCCCCTTCCCTATCCCATCCTCCCCCTTTTTCTTTCCTCCTCCTCCTCCTCCCCACCCCTTCCTTTTGCCCTTCCTTTTTGG